CATATTAAACCTATACAGATTAGCATGGTAATGTTTGCTTCCCTGTCTAATGTGTGATCACTCTATATCAAAGGCTACCACAGAGTTTAGGAAGGCCAAAGATACTGTAATACTGTGACACTGAGACGTTTTTCGGGGAAAGTAATGAATGTCATGCAGAGGAGATTTCATTTATGACTTCCTCTGGGTGAACAAGGCAACATATACACCAGCACAATAATTACAGTTTGGTAATTGGACAAATCTGCGAGGATTACAGGCGTACTACAGCAATTTAGTAAGGCAGATAGTCCCATGTATGAGTCAAGCCCCCAAAACACCAGATCCTACATTTCCCATAATGCAACTTAATAAGGTCTCTTTGTTTTGCCATGGGAAATGCCCCTATGTGTATACCCCAGTATATAGATGCCTTCATAATTAAGCAGTTATACTTATGGATGGATCACATGCATAGGTACAGTAGATATGTGCATATGGGCACAGCGCATACATTATGTTTGCTGTAGATGTGTGTCAGCATGAATGAAAGTGTATGAAGTGCTCTTCCTAGTCTGACTGCAGGACAACAAAGGGTGGGGGGCGGGGTTGGGAGTCCTCCCCAGATCAGCTCCTCTTGGACATCTGGCTGACCACTCCCCATTCTTCACTCCATTACAGCAGCTGATTACCCTCATTAGCTCACCAGACAGGAGGAGTCCAATACATTCTATAATTATCATCATTATTGTTTACTATTACTTTAACATAAACACAAGTTTGTTGAATATCAAAATTATTTTTATCACAGCCTTAAAATATCCACCACATTATATTGTTAATTATATTCTGAATTACTAGAAATCAAAAGGGAATCGGGTGCATTCGATTTGTCAGACATCATTTGTCAGACAGCTTTTCTGTGTTTTCTTTGTATGTAAATGTTCGTGTTACATCTGACCCAAAAAAAAGCACACAGCCCCACTCTCTCCTATTTCTGCTGAATCATCTGGTCCTTCAGGAGGTGCAATACTGCAATTCAGTATCAGGCCACATGGGGGGAAATCTGCTGTACATAAATGCTAGAGGAAAGGGAAAACATAATTATACCATAATAGACTGTGGTAGTAAAGGCTGTTAATGGCTAGATACAGGTTACATTTATAATCAGGAGCGAGAAAGTAAAGTAAATATATTATAAGGATGATGAGAGGATTCAAACAGGTTAGTTAGGATGCGTGCACTGGCCCAGTGCCAAGCTGAATGCCGTCAGGCTGTGAATCAATAACAGCACAGGATTCACTGAGGTGTAAATAATAAGGACAAAGAGTACAAACAAAATAGTGAAATTGTATCAATGTTCTCAAATAAACAGAGTTAGGTGGCTTCAATCAGTCCCCTAGAATTAGTCTCACAACAAGACTGTTACTCTTCTGCTAGCTGCTGAGTCTCCAATGAATCACTGATGGGAGACAACAGATAAGAGATCTGCCACTACAACAGAAACAGCAGCAGGCATTCTTGAATCAAGCAGTATCAAAGCTGCAGAAACAATGAGTTGGACTTGCATCAAAGGCCAGTACAGTACATTTCCGAGCGTTTAGACATTCACAAAATAATCATTAAATTTTATGTGATAATCTGGAACATTTCTAATTAATGTGTTTCTTTCTTGTCATTTTTTGGACGTAATAGATTCTGCTGCCAAAAGCATAAAGTGCATATCACAAGTGCTGATTAGGTGTTTCTCAAGAGAAATACACACAGAGGAAGTGTTGGTTTCCAAAGACATTAAAAGAACAAGATGTTGCAGTACTGGACATACTGTGTCCTAATTAAAGAAGCAAAAAGTGCAAACACAGCAACAACGTTATCACAGTTAAGAAAAACTGAATTTTATCTACTACCTCTTTAAATATATGAAACTGCTCTGTAATTGGTATCCCCTTAAGTATTACACACCATGTTGTGTCATTCTGAACATGATCACAGCAAACACAATCGCTGCTGCTGATTTCAGACCAGAGTTGACGTCAGGTTGATGATACGTTTATGCATTTAAGCAGACAATTAAATTTTATTACATTTGACTGTAATCGATGACATATTGCATTACATCAGATCTTTCCAAAACGTTTAACTCTTTCCTGCTCCTTGTAAAAAGCTATTTGCTCCATTCATGCTTTATATGTGTGTGTGTGTGTGTGTGTGTGTGTGTGTGTGTGTGTGTGTGTGTGTGTGTGTGTATACCAACCCTGAAATGACTAACTAGTAATCATCCTCACTTTGTCAAATGATGTCTTTCCTCTCTAAGCCACAATTGTGAATGTGTGTGTGTGTGTGTGTGTGTGTGTGTGTGTGTGTGTGTGTGTGTGTGTGTGTGTGTGTGTGTGTGTGTGTGTGTGTGTGTGTGTGTGTGTGTGTGTGTGTGTGCCAGAGCCAGAGCCAGAGAGAGAGTGAGACATGAATCATCATTTTTGGTCCTCAAAGTGTGATCTCAGTCTGACATTAAAACTAAAAGAATCAACTTTCCTGCTCAAAACAAGTGCCATTTAATAGTGTATGTAGTAAGTTATCCTGACTGGTAAGCAGAAACACTAACCTTGGTGCCTAAATACTCAGAAGCCTGCACTTCTGGAGTCGGATATAAATGTAATCTTCAAAACACACATTGCAGCTTTGTACTTAACACTACAAACTCAATTAAAAGTGCTTCCACATTTTGACCTTTACCACCTTAAATCATTTTTTTAAATATATATTTTTGGAGAAAAAAAATCAACACTGAAAAACAAATTTACTCTTGATTTCATCAAAAAAGGATGGAGAAGCCGGTTGTAAAAACCATACTTAAATTGTTTTCCTTTCGTGTTTGTCATGGTTGCTCTAATGGAGGGTCAAGGAGACAATTGGACAATTGTTTAAACTTGCTCTGTTTCATTCTATGTTGCTGAAATATTAAAATCCAGCCTCTCCTTTAATCTCTCTCTGTGGCGCATCAGTAAAACATGCAGCACTGTCAGGATACCTATGATTTCTTGCAATAATGGGCCTTTTTGATTGACCTGTCACAGTAGGAAAATCACAGGTATAAAGAACAAAAATAAAGATGGCTGAATTTCATTTATCTACTTCAGTTTCAGGTATTGTGCATGCTGACTCACTGTCATGGTTTGCTGTGATGATGTTATTACTAACACCTGTTCTTTTCCTCCCATTACAAATAAAAAAAGGCCTATCTTGCATATAGCATTCTAGAAATTCTCTATGCACTTTGAGAACAATTGCAAAGTTAGCCTATTATACTTTTTGGTTACTACTGCTGCTTACCAGTACTTCTAATATTATTACTATGTGACTCCTAAAAGCACACCCTAGAAATCATGCAATCCTTCTAAACAGCCACAACCGGCATAATAATCAACTCATGCATGATAGCAACCTAACAAAATTGCTACAGCAAATAAACACCCACCATTGCATTCATTCCAACCACCTGATGTCATAGCAACAACCTCAAAACACCCTAGCGACCATGTGGAACATGTTAGCAATCTTTCACGTTTGGTTTTTACACAATATATCACACAAGAACCTCAGACTACAGTCTCCAAGTGACTGAATTAACGCCTATCTGACATGGTCTCAACAAAAACAGATTAACACAGTAACTTTCATAAAACTGGAATTCATTTCAGGTCTGTTTTTCAGGTTTGTGATTAAGTGTATCTAATAAAGTTAGATAAGGGTTTCAGATTTTCATATCATCTGAAGTTGTAGTTAAAGTGTTACTTTAACGCCACCTGTGGGACTGTACCATTCCTGCTTCACTACAATTTAGTTTAATGTTCAGGTTTCTTCCATTACATCAGTACATTCCTGCAGCTTCATTGTTGTGTGTCTAGTGTGCTAATCTGCTACAGTGTGCTAATGTCAAGTGTCTGCACAAGTTTGATTGGATTTCTTCAGTAGCCAGATGTAGGTGATTCTAAGCTGTTCTGATTGTAAGTAAAAAAAGGGTTAGGGTTAGGATGCAGTTGTTACTACTATGACTTCTCTCAGTACCTTGTCTTTTAGGAGTACAGTACTGGCTTTAATGGGCCTACAGTTGTCACACAAGAATGGCAGGATTATGTTACTAAATGTGTGGGCAACACTTGTTGCATTTGTTTCCACTATAATATTTATCATCATGGTTGCCAGCTCTAAGGTTTCATTAATACTTAAGTAATGTCTGCAGTGGCCTAGGCCTGGAGCGATGACAGAACTTTTCATTTGTCCAGCCTTGAGGCTTTCCAGCCTTGCTCTGTGGCCTTAGTTGCCTGAGTCATTTTCTCTTTTTTTTATACCATTTTATTGTCTGGATACACTGGCTGAAAAAGGGTTTACGAATTATACAAATCCAATTCAATCCAACAAATTCTGGATGAATGGTGGCTCTGGATGGCAAGTCTGTCTCATTGTACCTTAAAAACTAATTCTGTTAGCTGAGAAATTAAATTGTCTCCGCCTGAGGCTGTTAACTATTTGTTTCATGCTCTTTGGGGTTCTATAAGATGCATTATACACTGATTAGCCTACTTGTTACAGGGCAATCTCTTACGATGGTTTATATTCTTAAATTAATAATCTGATATAGTGATGTGGCAGTGGGACCAATCCAATCAACAATTTCATCTATAATTGAGTTCCCAAATGCACTGGGCATAAATCCAATCTCTCTCAGGTGAATACATTTATTCAAGGCTTTGAAGAGGTGGAGGAAAGACAGAATCAAAATGTTACTTAGGTGTGGTCAATGTGGGCATTTGTGAGTCAGTTAATGGTGCTAACTATTTGCAAATTCAAAAGGTTCTACCCCTGTAAAGTACCTCTCATTTGGTACTTTAAAACAACAAAGAGGGGAATTACCAGAAGAGAAAAAAGTCAAACTAACAGGCACACACACACACTGCAGAAACCACTCCTGTCATACACACATGCTGCATCAGTCTGCTGCCATTCACGCAAAAGTTACTTACCTTTTCATCTCCCAGGTTCTGCAACACTTCCTTACCGCCGCCGGTTCGGATCTCAACCTGAGGAGAGTCTTTCCCTTCTCGCCTGTTCGCTGCGGGACTTTCCACACACGGGGAATTCTTGCTGTCACTCGCCGAGCTCCTCGCCTCCTGACCGGTCTCTCGTTTGGCGGTCCTCGGGGTGCGGGAGCCCCTCTGGCCGACGCTCAGGGCATCAAAGTCTATGGTTTTACTCTCAAACGCGCCTTCGACGTTGCAAAACAATCCGCCGTATTTCTGCCGGGGCACCTGGTCGGCCGTGCCGGGTCGGGCGAGATAAACCGGCAGGTCGTCCTCTGCCATGTCCCAGTTTCCCCTGCGCTCTGCCATGGTGGAGCTCTGCACAAGTGACCGAGAAAGACGGTTAAACTAGTGCTGAAGTGGTGTGTGCCTGTTTCTGTGCGCGTGTGTGTGCGTGTGTGTGTGTGTGTGTGTGTGTGTGTGGTGCTGTGAGGAAGCCTGAGCAGACAGTCAGGCAGGAGTTGAATTAGAGCAAAAGCTGGCACTGTATGGTGCATGATGCATAGCATGTGGCTTTCTCTCAGGTTTTAACATGGTTTAATTAAAAATACATATGATTATGGACTTTGGTTGGTGTTTGTAGTTTAAATCAGCCAGTGAAGACACAAAGGCACCTGCGGCTGAGTAGAGTGACCAAGGGACCCTTTCATATAGACATACGTTGAACATCATCTGTATAAATACAATGCAAAAACTATATGTTTTTACTGAAGCAATACCTACATCTCCTTTCTTTTTTTATATATATAAAAAGATAGCACAGCTGAGGTGGAATGACATGCATCAAAGGGCCACAAGTCGGATTCGAACCCTTGGCCACTGCAGCTAGGGCTCATCCTTTGTACATGGGGCCCTAGCTCTACCAGGTGAGCTGTTCAGGCGCCCCTAGCTCTCCTTCCTGATGTAGTTTCAGAGTCAAAATACTGTATTCATCCTTAAAGATCCCCAGCAGTTTCAATGTACCTGATAGTAAGTGGACACAGGTGAGCACTTTGCAGGTAACACAGGTTTTCAAAGAGGAGCTGTCCCTCTGTGTCGCTGTCCTTTCAGCACCACTTAAGACGTTTGATATGTAGCTACACCTGCTCAACCGGAAACTCAAAGTAGGCTAAAAGCTGATATGTCTTCGTATGGGGCCCCCCACCCAGGAGTGTTTTCTTACGCCAGCACAAATGAGACAGGATCGTGTCAGCAGCGGTGGAAGACAAGCAGCTTTCAGGCAGCATGTCTCAAACTGTGAGACTGCTGAGTCATAGAGGACACAAAAGGGAGACAGGAGTCAACGCCGTCACTCAAACTCAGTTATGTAACGACTGCTTATCAGCGTATTTAACAAGTTCCAGTGGGGTCAAACTAGTTTCACAGAGTCTTTTTGTAGGCTTCTTCTTCTTATGATAAAGTTCTGATAAAGGTAAGAATAAGAGGACAAATATGGCATGGCCCTCCTCTGGATTTTGCCCCTGTTCATGCAGTTAGAAAGTTTTTTATTTATTACTACGTTATTGCCTCATGTAAGTCTCATATCTAACATGAACTACACCGATAGCCCACAGGCCACAGTATAATCTGTTATACCTGATTAATTCAAATTAAAATACATTACTCTTTTAACTGTTAAAACCCAACGTGTTGATATGGACTAAAAGTTGAAAGAATAATGGCAGTTCAGTCCTTCCACGGTGTGTCCGGTACAGTATACAGATGGCGTTGGTTTCACTGTGAGGTTGAGGCTTGATGGAAACTTTCATCAACTGGATTAGAAATAACAAGCATCTGCCCTCCAGATCCCATTGAAGTGCTAACTGTGTGGGTGTGTCTGTGTGTGTGTGTGTGTGTGTGTGTGTGTGTGTGTGTGTGTGTGTGTGTGTGTGTGTGTGTGTGTGTGTGTGTGTGTGAGAGAGAGAGAGAGAGAAGGAGAGAGTGACAGAGGGTTCATAGAGATGATAAAGAGTCTCAAGGTCAGTCACACTGTAGGCTAAAGTGAAGTCAAACAGGACACATCCTCAGGTCTCATCTAACAGGTTGTCATCACTGAAATGAAGCCTCGGCTGTTGAGGGCCAAGTCATTGGGGCCTGGAAATCAAGCCAGCTTTCAGTATCTCCCTATTATGCCCCCTCAGAAGGAACTAACTCATGCATGGGAACCAAACTTTCAAATGACTGTGGCTGATTTAATGTTTTTGGACATCTATACGCCATCTAGCTGGCACAAAAGTCTGGCTGCAGTAATGTGCAGCATTTGAACATTCCTTTTACTATCCCTTGCAGATGAATGCTAGTATGAAGGAAATTCATGCTGGAAATAAATATAGTATCTAGTGCCATCCCTTTTAGTTCAAATGTGGTGTTATTTTGTCTCACAGTGGCTGACATTGCTTACATTGCTTTACTTTTCTACTGACACTCCTGAGTCCATGAGTTCAAATGCATGGGAGAGTTAAAAAAAAAAAAAGAAAGATCAAGCACTATATTCTGAAAAGATGGCTTAGTGAAGATTTTTTTTAGGGGACTGAAGCTGAGTAAAATATGATAAGTAGCTCTATTTCCACACATTCCTTGCTGAATACCACTGTTGCAGTTCCTGTGGCTCAGTTGGCATCTAGCGCAGCAACTTGTCAGGCCAGCAGAAATTTCCCCTCACATGAATGTGATTAAAGCATCAAGGTTTGCAGAGATGCCAAGAGCATACTAAAATGTCCTGCCTCTGTACTTCTATGGTGTCGTACAGAGTCTCTGCATTTTAGGAGTGTCTGTCCTGTCCTCCTTTGTTAGACTGTAAGTAATGCTGAGAGAAGGGGGACAAAACAAAATAAAGAAAGCTGACAGGAACCTATAGAGGACTATGTGTTTTGGCTTGCCACACATTCACATAAGGACACCAACCAGTTTCAGTGCCTTGAAAATAATGAAATATTAAGTGAGAGAGCAAGGACAGTGCTCAAAGGCTACTGGAGATGTTTGTTTTACTGTGGTCTGTACAGACTAGACTGACTGGGAGGCAGTGGAGCCATCAGCTCACACTGTCTGGCTTTCAATGTCGGTGATGTCATGATAGCTGCAAACCATAATAACAAAACATTGTTTATTTCATTTGGGTGAATCTTTCAGTGGTTCACTGTCAAAGTAAAACCGATCTGACCATCAAGAACGAAATTCATTCACATGGGCTGCCTGGTAATTTCCAGCAAATAATACTCAAGGATCTGGATCTTCTGAATGACATCATGTGACAAGCATTGTTTGGCAGTTAGTCAAGAAGCTCGCCAACAGGATATTGCCCTGACTTAATGAGGCTTTTAAAGCAATGACAGCAGCGATGCTGGAACAAAGCAGGAGACTATCCCCCATCTCCATATTAAAAATGGATGTAAGGTAAGGCTAGTAAAATGAATGTCCCCCATAAGACAATAGCTCTCATGTTGCCACTGGCTTAAGTGCATGTTCATCCAGGCATGATGGAATGATGGCAGATAGGACAGAGTTTGGCAAATTCACGCCGAGTGCTCTTCACGGATTTGGCACAATAGGCCTTACGGCGAGTGAGACCTTTGAAGAAGTGGGTAAGTGGGCCACTGTTTCACAGACAAGTCAATAAGAGTTACTTCAAACGGTAAATGTAAATGCATGAGGTCTGACAAGTTCCAAGTGGGTTCTGCATTGGTTCACCTTTATTAAATAAAATGATAAATAACATTTTAAAAACAAAATAATTATTCTAATAATTATTATGTATTATGTTCCACTCGCTACCTGTGTTATTTTCTATAGTTGCATTTCCGCTGCAGGAATTTCCCCAGGGACTAGGAACCTTTTGATGACCAGGGTCTAAATTAAGATCCAGGGACACATTTTTTTACCCCCTAAAAAGTCTCTGCTTTGGTGGTAGTACTTTCCAACTAGTGCTTCTGTATCGTATGTCTGTCAAAGGAATTTATGTTTGTCTGCCACAAAATGTAATTCCTAAGACTTGGTATCATGCACACTGTAAGATTTATTTAGCATAACCATAAGTGAAGTCTAATGGCACACCTGTACTTTCACTACACCTTACACTAATTTGTAATTGTATATTTTTAGAAACTGAGAAACACTGGCTGCAAACGTTTCCTTTCACTATTCACAGCAGCATGGAGCAGCAGTGGAGCAGTAGCCCACAGCGGCAGTGAACCTTTGGCAGCATGCACAGGATGATCAGGAAAGACAAAGGCTTATATTCAGGAACTTTTTTTTGGATGCTTGGATGAGCCTGATAACAAAGGAGCTGAGGTGAAAGCTGCAGGAGAATGCACAGCTTTGTACTGTACCTCACAATGCTGATGCAATTTCCTACTGTTAACAGATTAAGATTGTAATTAGTCACTAATTATGGCTCCTTTAAAGGGCTTAAACACTCAGCATTGCAAACTGGCAATTTTGTCCTTGAATACTTTGCTGACTAGTTGTTAAATCTTCTATTCTGACTAAAAAAGATGAACAAGCACATAAATGAGTTGCCAGTCTCACATGTTTAATAGTAGTATGAGCCATGAAGTCAGTGTTGCTAAGCAGCTGAACAGAGCAGACTGGGCAGCTGCATCCGCCTGGACTGTTTGGCTGCTGACCAGCTGCTGCTGAAATAAGGTTAAAGAGCCTCCAAGGATGTACTGTCAGATATTTGAATCTTGTATCCCTTGGAGCAAAGCAGACCATCTAACACACAATGCCACTGGGGTTTTCATGTCATTTCATGAGTTTTAACTGTCCACCCATTTCTGTGCTGGAAAAGCATCTCCGGTTGATTTTCTTGCATTTCCATTTGCACTCAACAAATATGTCATCACGGATTACGTGTTCAGAAACGGATGAATATACAGAATTCAATGTAGAATGCAGAATAAATAGCCTACTAACTGTTTTAATGGGAGTTTTTTTTCATTCAAAAGTTTTTTTTTCAGTGCACAATAATCTCTCATAGTGACCTCTGTGTGGGTGGTGAGAGAAGGACAGATAGAAGTGCTTTTATAACAGACATCCTGTGGCAGGGCTGGTCTATAACACAAAACCTGGCTCGACCCCTGTTCTCTTCTGGCTTGGCAAGGACAGACATGAAGTGAAAAGACAGACTGTTATCCTGGACTGACTTTGCTCTGTGTCCAGCTTAACTGAAAAAAAAAAAAAAAAAAAACAAATGTGGAAAAGCCCACTGTTTAACAAGCTCATGAGACAACTGAAGCCTTCATTGCTTCAGTGAAGGTTTTATGATTCTCGTAATAAACCACAAGTCTTAAAATTGTTCTCATAACACTAAGCACTTGTATTTTTATGAATACATTTATGAAAAACTT